GGTCATGTTCAGTGAACTTGTTCTCCCATGGCAAGCTCCCACATGCTAGTTCTAAACATTTCTATACTTCAACTTATGAGAGCGATTGCTTACTTCATAAATAAAGAACATAACATATGTCGATTTTTGAGCACTATTGATGCTCTATCTCAATAATATAATGATTAAGAACTTTTAGGAACCATGCTTTAATGCATAAGGATCTCATAATTGTATCCCAATACAATTCCTTTGCAAGGCATTTATAGTTCTATGGGCTTTATCTACATAAGTATAAAAAGTAATTAAATCACAAACTTATGGATAAAGAACTACCTCAATGTTATCATGAATAACAAAATGTCATACATGATTATCTCAAAATTGCAATTCCTATATGACCATAGATTGGCTTTCAGGGCTTATTCTAACAGATAGAGCATTATGTTCTTCATGTGGTAGGAGGCACAGAGGGCAATGCCTCCAAGGATCCACTTTTTGTTACCCATGTGGGTTGACTGGTCATTTTGCTAGAGATTTTCCTAATGGTTGAAGGACTATAGGGTTGACATAGGGACAAACATAGCCAGCTTTACTTGCCCCATTTATAACTACTCAAACTAGTAGAGAGGTTGAACAAGCTAGGGGTCGAGTTATCGGTAGTTCATCCCAAGCGAAGGATTTGGAGCCTAAGGGACAACTGGACGAAGATAGGCTAGAGTTTATGCTCTAACTTAGAAAGATGCATGGGGAATCTAATACACTTGTTACAAGTATACTAGCCATTTGTTTAGTTGATGCACGTGCACCCTAGAGCTATGCATTCATTTATATTCCATACTTTGCATCTAGATTAGGTATAGAGCACTCCAAGAGGGAACAAGTCTTGGTAGTTACCACACCCTTGAAATAGGTGTTTGTGGCAAGGCATGTGTATAGAGATTGTATGGTTCGGATTGGGAGTAAGTACACTTTGACAAATTTAATTTTGCTGGACATGTTAAAGTTTGATGTGATATTGGGTATGGACTAGTTGTCAGCCAATTATGCTAGTGTTGGTTGCCACTACAAGGTGGTACACTTTAACTATCTAGGAGAGAAATCGTTTAGTATCTAAGGGGTTCGTAGTATGGTGACAAGTAGTATGATTTCAACCTTAGAGGCTAAAAGATTGATTGATAATGGATGTTAGCAACTCTTGGCATTAGTTAAGGACACTTAGATGGTGATGAGTGGGGTGGATAATGTGCCAATTGTGAGGGAGTTCACTAATGTGTTTCCCGAAGAGTTGCCAAGATTACCCTCAAATAGAGATATAGAGTTTTACATCGACTTGGTAAAAGAAACGAGTTCGATATCTATACCACCATACCGAATGGCACCAACTAAGCTCAAAGAGCCTAAGGATCAGCTAGAGAACTTGTTGGACAAGGGGTTCATTCATCCAAGTGTGTCACCATAAGGTGCACCGATACTATCTGTAGAGAAGAATGTTGGATCAATGAGATTGTGTATAGATTAACAACAGTTGAATAAGGTGACAGTGAAGAATAAGTTTCCTTTACCACACATTGACGGTTTGCTTGATTAGCTCCAAGGAGCATAATGTTTTTCTAAGATTATTTTATTTTATATAATTATTTTATTTCAATTTTGTTATTAAATATTAGCTAAGTCCTTAAGTTTCAATTATAATTTAGCCATTTTTAGTTGTTTTTATAATTAATTTATTTTTTAGTGAGTTATTTTAATTTTATGTTTATTTCCTTCAATTTGATGATCATTTATTAGTTTTTATGTTTTTGGTAGGAATTAAGGGGGTTGAGCTTAATTTTGGAAAGTAAGGTGTTAAAGGACCTAGAAATCTGTTTGCATATACTTTAGTTTTTTGACTATAACTCACACTACAGAACCTCAAATAATATGATTCTTGACCACAAGAAAGTTAAGAGATAGAGCTATAACTTATGAGATCACTTTGCCCAGTTCTGCCTCAAGGATAGAGAAAATTCCATCGAAAAATTACTAGGTGTACTATTGCAGGAATGGCAATTTTAAGGCTGACAATTGATGTTTAGGCCTCTCATTACACTTTTGAGCCCAATTAGAATTAGTAGGTTAAATTAGGGACTTGTAGGGTTAAGATTGTTAGTATAAATAGTATGTTTTATGAAACATTTGAGAGAGAACTTTTGAAGATTCAATAGGCTAAAAGTTGAGGCAGAAACTTGAAAAACAAAGCTGCTATCAATCGCTTTGTTTTCTTCCTTAGCTTTTATTTTTCTTGTTACTTTCAATGGTTGATTTTATATAATGTTATTTGTCTTTGCAACTATGTGTAGCTAATTTTCTTTTTCTAGGATTGTAATTGAACTCACATGTAATCTAAATTTTTAATCTCTTTTTTGCTTAGCTGTAGTGGGATTTGAATTGTTTATTCCAATTTGTTCTTAATACTTTTAATTGCCTGATCACCAATTAAATTGATTTAGGAACCTAAACAAACTTGGGAAAGGGAGTTTAGTGTAGAGTAAAATTACGATAGCATATTATCATATTAAATGATTTGCGTATAAGATAGGGATATACCTATGGGTCATATATAGCCAAATTAAAGCTTGAACTTAATGAGTCTATTTTAATTTCAAATCACATAAAGATATAGTGTTTTGGTTAAAATAGATATTTTTATAAGATGAGTCAGAAGACATCTATAAATAATTGAGAACTCTAGGTTAGCAATTCAACCTTTTGAAATAAGTTAAGGAAGAGAGGTAAGATTTAGATGAAGTGTGATGGATATTGTAATCTTAGGCTTGTTTGATTTGCGTTTTTACTCAAGTTATTATTACTTTGATTTTTCTTTTAGATTAAATTTTGGTTAATTAGGTTTAGTTAATTAATTAATTTTGATTGTTTGGCTAAGATTAAATTGTTATGATTTTAGTGTTTAGTAAAATTTTAAATTAAGTTTCCGTGGGATCGATACTCTGCTTATTGTTATACTATCTTTTTGATATGTATACTTGCATAGGTAGAAATTTAACTAACAAGTTTTTGATGCCGTCATCAGCAAATTGTTTCTTGAATTTTTACTAATATTAATACCAAGCAATTTAGTTTTACTTCAAATTTTATTATATTATTTTAATATTAGTTTTTTGTTTTTACAAATATCTTTAGTCATTGTATGCAAAAAAGAAACAACTTGAACCTTGGTCCTTTTGATCTTGAAATAGAAAGAACTTTTAGAAGACGTTGATAGGAGAATTTGCAAGTTGCAACTTTAAATCAAATGATGGCTGAGGATAACAACAACAATGGCAATAATGCCATTAATTTGGTTCCCAAAAAAAATAGAGCATTTGGGATTATGTTGTTCCTCTTTTATAAGGGCTGCATCAAAGCATTAGATGACCTTCCATCAATGCAAATAATTTTGAAATTAAACCACCTTAAATTCAGATGATTCAGTCTTCAGTCCAGTTTGGTGGATTACTTAGTGATGATCCTAATTTTCATTTGGTGGATTTTCTAGAGATTTGCAATACCTTCAAATGTAATGGAATAATTAATGATGCTATTAGATTGAGATTGTTTCCATTTTCTTTAAGGGGTAAAGCAAAGAGCTAGCTTAATTCAGTGCTTAATGGGTCTATTACTACATGGGAGAACTTGGCTCAAAAGTTTCTAGAAAAATTCTTTGTGCCTACCAAGATTGTAAAAATGAGGAACAATATTATTTCATTCACACAATTTGAAGGTGAATGCTTATATGAAGCTCGGGAGACATTTAAAAATCTATTGAGAAGATGTCGACATCATGGGATTCCTAATTGGTTGAAAGTTCAGACATTTTACAATGGGTTGGTTGGTTCAATAAAAGCCACCATTGATGTTGCAGCTGGTGGGGCATTAATGAGTAAGAATGATGCAGATGCTTATAATCTATTAGAAAAGATGGCCTCAAATAATTATCAATGACCTTTAGAAAGGTCTGGTCCTAGAAAAGCTATTAGAGCCTATGAAATTGATGCACTTTGCACCTTAACTACTCAAGTAGCTGCATAAGTGGTTGTACTATCCAAGAAGTTTGACACATTAGGAGTTCATGCGGTTCAAAATTCATTTATAGTCTGTGAGATGTGTGGAGATGGCCATTCAAGTGAACAATGTCCATAAAATTTTGAATCAGTCCATTTTGTGGGGAACTTCAACAAGTAGCAAAATAATCCATACTCCAATACATATTATCCTGATTGGGGAAACCACCCTAACTTTTTATGGAAATGCAGGACGTTTAAATCTAAAACTCATCATGCCTCCTAGTTTTCAACAACAACTAGGCCACCAATTCCTGAAAAAAAGTCCGAAGTGGAAAAACTTCTCTTGCAATATATATAAAAGACTAACATTATAATTCAAAGCCAATGAGCCTCCTTGAGAAATCTTAAGACCCAAATGGGACAACTTTCAAATTCCATCAATAGTAGATGACGTCGAGGCGTTGTAAAAGACACCTAAGCATTGTGAAAGACACTAATCGTAGCGAGGTTAGAAACCCCACTAAGGTGAACCACCAATCTTGGCAAGGTTAGAAAACCCTACTAAGGTGAAGAATAGCCAAAATCCCACTTTGGTTGGCTAGGCCAAAGATACTAAAACCTTTTACTCTTTAAAAAAAGCCTAGAGAAATAAGCACTCCCACTTAAAAAAATATTATTTATTAACTCTCAACTTGAATGTTAATAATAACTAAGCCTAAGGGTCCTATTTATAGTATTATAAGCCCACATCCTAATAAAACTTTACTTCTAATTGTCTAATACATTTAGAATAGTTAATAAGAGATTTAAATAAAATAGATGTTCTATTCCTAAGTAGAACATGACTAGCTTAAATTCCTAATACATGTAAAAGAAGAATTCTATTATACTTATAATTCTTAAATCAACTAAAATTAACAAAAATTAAATAAAATAAAATATAATCCTAAATGCTCCTGCGTCATTCTCCTTAGGTCAAAAGAACTCGACTCCAATGAATAGGCTAGGACATAGTCCATGTTTGGATCCATATACTATCATAGTCCACACCAACCATTTAAATAACTCATCTGGTGTTTTGAAGGTTGTCTTCCATTCATCTCCAAGTCGCATTCTAATCTGATGATATCCTTTCTTCAAATCGATCTTCAAAATCACCTTAAAACCAATGAGCATGTCATCCAATTGAGGGATAGGAAAATCATACTTAATTGTAGTCTTGTTAATGGCATGGTTGCCCACAAGGCTTTTCAATAAGTTTTCCAAATTTTTGTTGACCAATTCTATTTGACCATCCTTGGATAAAGGCGAAGATACTTTATTCTCCTTAAAGAATAAGAGACATAAATGGTTTGACTCACGATAAGCTTTGTTTAAGCCAAACATAGTGATAAGTGCTTTATCTTCCTCTTGTTTCTTTGGTCGGTCCTCTAGATTTAATGGAGTCAACATAATTTTTGCTCCATCTTTGATGAAGGAATAAGTATTCTTGTATCCATCATGGTGAGCTCGACGATCATATTGCCATGGGCATCCTAACAATAAGCGACATGCGTCCATTGGGATGACATCACACCAGACTTTATCTACATACTTATTTCCAATAGAGAATTGAACACAACAACACTTTGTTACCTTAACTTTGTTTCCTTTTCTCAGCCTTTGTAACTTGTAACGATGAGGATGTATTTCACTTGGAAGTTTCAACTTTTCCACCATGTAGTTGGCAACAATATTTTCACAGCTTCCACTATCAATAATGACATTACAAACCTTCCCTTGGGATGTGCACTTTGTATAGAATATGTTATGATGAAGCCAACTTTCATCTTTAGTCATCGTAGTAGTGTTAAGGTTACCACGAACAATAAGAGTTTCTCCATGGTCAGTAGAAACTTCTTCTATCTCTTCGTTGTTGAATATTTCTAGCTCTTCCTTCATGTCATCATCATACTCATCATAAACTGGTTCTAATTTTTCCCAATTCACATAATATTCTTCTTCTACTAAGGAAATAATTCGTTGATTTGACAATCAGAAGCAATATGCCTAAATCCATTTAGCATTTGAAGCATTTTTTTTGATATTAGAAGCATAAGTAAAAATAGTCTTTTTATCTTTACTACTTACAGTTTTGGAAGAGTTTACATTTGGAGGCAAAATAGTTGTTGAACTTTGACTTCTATGGTTTGAGGTAGATTCTTGTTCTCTAGATGAACTCATTGAGCTTTTATGTGATCTTTGTTTCTCAACCTTTAATGCTAATCTAATGACATCATTTACGTTCCAATATGGTTGTAGTTGAACAATATCTGCAATTTCAACATTAAGACCCCCAAGATAATGAGCTACAATTTGTTCTTCTGGTTCATGGATAGTGCACTTCATATGAAGTTTGAAACTCCATTGTATATTCTTCCATTGACATTGTTTTCTACCTCAAGTTATTAAATTTGATAAAAATTTCTTGTCGATAATGCTTAAGAAGGAACTTACATTTGAGTCCTGGACGCATCTTATCCCATGTTCTAATCTTGTTGCGATCTTCTCTTTCTCATTGTCTTTTGAGATTTTCCCACAAAATAAAAGCGTGTTTCTTTAATTTAACTACCACAAGCTTCACACGTTTTTCACTGGGAATATTTTTCTACTCGAAAACTCTTTCCACTATGTAGAGCTAGTCAAGGAAGTCATCAGGATGAAGTCTTCCTTCAAACTAAGGAATGTCGACTTTAATTCCTAAATCTCTAGTAGCAGCAGTTCTTAGGCGATGAATAGGTATTTCTTCATTAGAGGATGAATTTTGATGAAATGGGTTGGTGTCATTCTCTTCATCACTAAAGCTACTATTGTTGATTTGAGCATCACGTCTTGCTAGTTGCTCTTGTAATTCTTCAATTTGTTGACGTAGTTTTGCAATCTTGATTTTGTTATCATCTCTTTGATGATTTTTACGTTTTGGTGGCATTTTAGTATATGGCGATGACGATGTGGTTATGTAGAAAGAAGATGATGATATAACTATAAAGCAATAAAAAAAATAAAATTACCCGAACAAGGAATGTTGAAACTTGACAGCGAACTTGAATTATGCAAAGAACAATGATCAACCTAGCTCTGATACCGAACTGATGTCAGAGTGTTGTAAAAGACACCTGGGCATTATGAAAGACACTAATCGTGACGAGGTTAAAAGCCCCACTAAGGTGAACCGCCAATCTTGGCAAGGTTAGAAAACCCCACTAAAGTGAAGAATAGCCAAAATCCTACTTTGGTTGGCCAGGCCAAAGACACTAAAACCTCTTACTCTTTAAAAAGAGCTTAGAGAAATAAGCACTCCTACTTAAGAAAATATTATTTATTAACTCTCAACTTGAATGTCAATAATAACTAAGCCTAAAGGTCTTATTTATAGTATTATAGGCTCACATCTTAATAAAACTTTTGTCTAACACAATTAGAACAACTAATAAGAGATTTAAATAAAATAGGTGTTATATTCCTAAATAGAACATGACTAGCTTAAATTCCTAATACAAGTAAAAGAAGAATTCTATTATACTTATAATTCTTAAATCAACTAAAATTAGCAAAAACTAAATAAAATAAAATATAATCCTAAAAGCTCTTATGTTAGTAGACCTTAAGGTTCCTTACTTAGTGACACATATATCAATCTTAAAGGTAAGGAACAATGCCAAACAATCACTTTAAGGAGTGAAAAATAAATTGAGTGGGTGAATGAAAAAGCAATTGAATTTGAGAATGAACATTTTGATAAGGAGGAAGGAATGTGTGAGAAAGAAATTGAAGTTGAACAAAAAGAAAATGAAAAGGTTGAAAATCAAAGGACTTCTCAAGTCATCCATCCTCCACCTCCTTTTCCCCAAAGGCTCTAAAAGCAAAAGCTTGCAAGCATTTTTAGAAGTTCATCAATGTTTTCAGGAAATTACACATAAATATTTTCTAAAGCTTTGAAACAAATGCCAAGCTATGTCAAGTTCTTGGAGGGCATCCTCTCCAAAAAGAGAAAACTAAGTGAGTTTGTAACTATTTCCCTTTGTCAGTTAAAATTCTACCACGCAAGTATACGTATCGAAAGATTGTTATTGCAAGAAGAAGTATCGATCCCGCAGGGAATTGATCTAAAAGTTTACTAAGTACTAAAATTATTGCAAATTAATCTTATCCAAACAATATCAAAATAATATCAAATCAAACTAAGTTATAGCAGAATTAAATTAAGAAAAATCAAAATAATAAATACTCAAATAAATATCAAATCAAACAAGCCTAGGATTACAATATCCCTCACACTTCATCTAAATCTTACCTCTCTTCCTACTTATCTCAATGGTTTGAATTGCTAACCTAGAGTCCTAAATTATTTATAAGGGTCTCCCAACTTATCTTATAAAAATATCTATTTTAACCAAAACACTATATCCCTATGTGAATGAAATTAAAACAAACTCATTAAGTTCAGGCTCTAATTTGGCTACATATGGCCTATAGTATATCCCTATCCTATACGCAAATCAATTAATATGATCATATGCTATCCCAATTTTAGTCTACACTAAACTCCCTTTTCCCAAGTTTGTTTAGTTTCTAGATCAATTTAATTGGTGGCCATGCAATTAAAAGCATTAAGAACAAATTGGAATAAACAATTCAAATCCCATTGAAAATAAGCAAGAAAGTGATTAAAAATCTAGATTACATGTGAGTTCAATTGCAATCCTAGAAAAATAAATTAGTTCATAATATCTAATAAGACAATATCCAAGAAATTTAGCCATGAATCCAAGTCAAAGAAAATAAGAAAAAAACACAAAGGTAAGAGAGAAAACTAATAGTTAGAGATGTATGATCTTGATTCTCTCTCCAATTCTCTTGTTTCCTTGCTTTGTTCTTGGCTCCAAATCTCCAGAATAGTTTCTTGCTGCCCTCCTTGCTGCCTCTCTTGCTGCCTCAAAAATCTCTGAAAAAGTCTCCTTAAATAGGCTCCAAATAACCTAATTTTGCGAAATTCCGTTAATGTCCTTTATTTTTTTTAGGGAAGTCGCGCGTAGCGCTGCGGCGCTACTTCTCCAGCGCTGCAGCGTTGAGCTCTCTGGAATTTTGTATGTGTGCTTCCTTTCATCAACGCTGCAGCCCTGTTCTCCCAGCGCTGTGGCAGTCTATCAACTTCAACATGAGTTTCACCCTGATATGTTAAGAACTGGGCAAAGTAGTAAACATAAAAGTTTTATCCCTGTCTCTTAACTTTCCAATGGATTAAAAAGCACATCAATTGGACTTCTGGATTGAAAGATTTGCTCCAAATACTGCATCATGTTCAGTCTTTACATCCTGCTGCAGTGGTCCGAATTGACAAATGTTTTGACCATGATCCAATCATAACTGGGCCAATTGGTGAACTAAAAATTGTTTCCCTTCTTCTTATAATTTGATTGGTCAAAGAATCACCTAATTTGGAGTTTTTTAGAAAGAGATATGGTCAAAATATTGAAAACATATACGAATGAAGCTATCACCCATACTTGCACTGATTTTCATCAAATGAGTCTTTTCATCAATTTTCTACAAAAGCCATAGGAGAAATTAGCAATAACTACTCTTAAAGTAATTTAAAATAAAATAACCTAAATTTAACTAAAATAACTTAAATTAATCACTTAACAAATAATCAAACTAAACTAAAAAAAACACCTATAATGCTAAAATTCGAACATAAAATCTCAAAGAGTCAGCTACTTAAGCTCCCAAAATGAGTCAAAATAACTCTATATAATAGAGTTATCACCCTTACAAAGGAATGTAGTGCAATTCTCCAAAATAAACTGCCACCCTTACACTCAAAGTTTGTAACACTCAAAGTTTCAGGTAGTTTCATAATCCCTTACACTATTGGTAATTTATTTTTTGCAAAAGCTTTGAGTGATTTAGGTGCAAGTATGAATTTAATGCTGTGGTCAATTTTTGAGAAACTTGGTATGGGGGAATGTAAACCCACTTTTGTTACTTTGCAACTGGTCGATCACTTTTATGTGGATCCATGGGGAATGATTGAAGATGTTTTTGTCAAGCTCGATAAATTTATTTTTTTCAATTGGTTTTATAATTCTTGACATAGAAGAAGATAAGCAAATTCTTATCATCCTTAGGAGGCCATTCTTGGCAACTACTAGAGCTTTGATTGATGTTGAAAACAATGAGTTCACTTTGAGAGTTCAAGACCAACAAGTAACATTTAACATTTTTAAAGCTTTAAAATTGCTTATGACATTTGAAGATTGCTTTTTTGTGAGTGTGGTGCATGATTTTACAAAAGAAGTCTTTTTAGAAGAATGTCTTAATGATCCTCTTGAAGCATGTTTAGTTGCTAAATCTGACAAGGATGATGATGAATGTATTGAATATTCAAATTTGTTAAATGCTTACTCCAGACTTAGAACTAATTATTAATTTGAGTCTTTAGATGTTTCAGCTTCTTTGATGCTTGCTTCTAAGCCTTCTATCGAAGAACCACCTACCTTGGAAGTCAAACCTTTGCCTACACACTTGAGGTATGCTTTTCTTGGAATATACTCTACTTTTCCAGTTATTGTTTCTACTTCTTTTACTAACATGCAAGAGATAAGTTATTGAGGGTGCTTAAAGAATTCAAGAAAGCAATTGGGTGGACCGTAGCTGATATTAAAAGAATTAGCCTTTCTCTTTGCATGCATAAAATTCTCTTTGAGGAAAATCACAAAGTCACAATTAAACAACAAAGAAGATTGAATCCTTTCGTGAAAGACGTGGTCAAGAAAGAAATCATCAAGTTGCTGGATGTTGGAATAATTTATCCTATTTCTGATAGCTCATCGGTAAGTCCAATCTAATGTGTTCCTAAGAAAAAGGCATGACTATGGTCACCAATGACAATAATGTGA